TGAAATACTTAGAAATGTACAAATTTAACGTGTTTAATGAATTCTAAACATACGAATTCACGCTTAGCGATTGTTTGTGTGAGCGACTCATTTTCTGGGTTGTACGAAGTGTGTGAATTGGAGTTTTTCACGTTTGCGCAAACATCCTATCGTTAAATCTTTAAATTGTATGCTCTGCTTTTCACTCAACTATCTCTGTATGCCCATGAATGATTTGACTTGAAGCATTTTTAACATCTGGTTAGCTAAATATAGTCGATTTTTCTTTCGTCGAGCTATGACGTATTTTGATCCCTTTGAATTAGTTCTTCATGGAATCTGTAATACCACCTCGAGAATTTTTCATAGTCCAGTATCCAGGCATAGTGAGGAACGATGATCGTGCGATCGAAACATTGGGAGGATTGCAATCGCTTAGCAAGGTAGTTTCTTCACTTTGTTTTCCTGCAGCATTACTTTATTCTAGAGACAAAAGAAACTAGATAGTCGTCTGTGCACTTGAACTAAACTGCCTTAATGCTTTTAATTAATACGCGATTCGGTATTACGTTTACGTTTTCTCCACTTATTCTACCTCCGCATTAATTTGTTATTTTTTGTTTTGCTTCTGTTTTAGTCTTTCAACTCATTGACCCGACGATTGCGCCTTTCATTCAGACCAGAAATGCTTTTTGCAAAGCCGGTATATGGTGATCCACATTCAAAAACGGCGCTTATTATCCGTGCAAAGCAACTCAGAAATCGTCGCACCGGAGAATTGAAATTCACGTCGGAAATAGTTGGCATAGCTTCAAGAATTTATTCGTTTAATGGTAATAATATTTGTGTGCTTTTTTAATCGACTTTTGCTTTTTTTACGTAACATGCTTCTAACTCGAATATGTTTGCTTTTGATATTTCAACTCATTTAATACCTGATTCAGCCCCTTTATGTCTGGATTTTTTTAGCCATGTTTGACTTCCAATACGGTCCCTTTGAAAGAATTTCGGCTAACTTAAATGAAACTGCTCCTGACTGTGCTTCGCCGTCGGATAGTTTTCGGGTTTTTTATGATCGACTTTTGGTGAAAGGACCCACGCGTGTGTTAGATTCCCATTTAAGGGCTCCTGACGTACCCCTTTTCCTACCTCCGCTTCTTTTCACTCGGCTTGATCAACCCACCATGTATTGTTTTTCATCGCGTTTCCGCATGAATGAGTACGTGGAACTGGAAAATAATAGCCAGCAGCACCCCTACCGTAAGCGGTTGCCCCATATTTACCCATAGTAAGGCATCTTTTAGCAAACCCAATTGAATAAGTTTAAGTCTTCTAGTTGGTCCGTTTGTTGGGTTTTCCAAGGCACTTATGCCCTTCCAGACTTGCCGAAACCACATATAAAATGTACTTAAATCTGTTTAATTGCAGATCGAAAGGAGCGCAAAAGCTATGCAATGTTTGTTAATTTTGGAGATCCCGTTCCGTCGGCTGCCCATCCTGGAGCTCTGCAAGCAATCACAAGCCTAGGGCCGCATACGCGAAAGTTGGCTCATGATGTTGAAAAGGTTTAGGCATTGCTTAAGTTGACTTTTTCCTACCAAATGCACTTATACGAATACTTAGTTTTTCTCCTTATCCTTAGTTGTTTCGCAGACGTCCCATCTGGGGTAAGGCGGCTTTGGTTCACAGCTTGAACTGGAAACGTGTTCGTGAGTGTGCGATTAAAACAATTCTCCCTGCCTATGCCTACTATGTGCCAAATGGACCCTGGGGTCGGGTCTGGATCCGGTTTGGATACGACCCTGCCGAAAATCCCTCTTCTCGTATTTACCAGGTATGAGAAGTTGTATGCAATGTGTCTTGTAGGGTGCTATCACCTCCAACATGACCACACGAGGGGTGTTGATTTAGCTCGCTCTGTGATTGGTTTTAAACTTTAATTGGTCTCTTCCCTTCGCATTAAATCTTACAACCGACTGCATTGCTTTCAGACTGTTGACTATCGCGTACGCTCACCTCGGTTGCAAGCCAAGTTATGCATTTCGGGTCGAAGACCACGAGTCGATGATCGTGAAGATACTGACTTCTCCGGTTCGGATGTTGATGAGGCCAAGGACACCTCTCTTGTTGATGCCGCCTTGGCTGCTATGCACTCGGAGTCACCGTCGCCTGTTCATGCATCATCAAAGAGCGTATGTTATCGTCTTAATGACACAATTAATTGAGACTTCTATGATACTGGTTTCGCAGTTTATTTGTCTGAGTCACAGTTATTTCAGCTCTGCCCATCCTATTTGAAGCTGCTGTGTCCCTTTTTGTCTTGTTTCGGCGGTGGATGTGGTCTGCACCTTCTCCTTTCTCTTCCTCCACAGACCAGTGCCTTTCGGTTCAGTAAAACCAGCTGGCCAGACGCCAGGCAAATCCTTTACCAACTCGTTGACATTGACGTCCCTGAAGTGGTAGAGATGTTGGCAGCACCCATGTGTCGAAAGATCTGTGACCCAAACCACGGTTGGATGCCCGCTGATTATCAGAAAACCATCCGAGAAGTCATGACTCGCTACCTGGAGACATGGGTCCTGGGGAATGGCACACTTTCGAAGACAACATGATACTACTTCACCAGTATAGGTATCGCTGGCATATGTTAAAGTCTCAGCTCAACCGTGATCGGCATCGTACAGATCTTTGTTTATGTTTCACTTCCTTTGTATTTTATTGTATATGCTGACTACCACAGTGTTGTTAATAAATGTTCCTCCTCATAAACGGCTTTTGGAAATTTGCCATCCCGCCTAGTGTTCTCATTGCTAACCTCGTCACTTAACTGATGAAAACTTTCGGACACCCGTAGGCGGTGAATGCTACCTGCCTTGGCGACGGGAAGAGCAAATTTTCATGCAACAGAGATGCACACCAAATTTAGTATACTCGTTGCTCAGATGCGTCTTACTTGCAGAGAAACCTTGGGGTCAGTTTGAGGGGAAATTACTCCTTTGAATTTCATGCTTCATTGACAGCTCAATGTCTGAGGTGATTGACGTGGATTTTGTTGAGCTTTCACGACCCTGCCCTCTGGCTCGACCTCGTGGCCGTAAAGCCTTCATTTTCTACAAGGAGGGACTTGACTGCGGTCAGAATTATTCGGATTCCGTCACCACCGAAAACTTTGGTGTTGTGTGTGAGTATACCGCCGCTGCTATCAATCAGAGTCCTAGTTGTATTTCAGTGCAACGTTTTCATCACAACGGTCGGCCTCAGATGCTTGCCTTTGGCAGCAGTCGAGCTGTTTGTCTGGCTACAGCAGTCAATAACGATATTCGACTTTTCCGGACCCTGTCGGGCCATAAAGAAGCGATCACTTGTGTTATGTGGATCGACTCATTCAGAGGACCAGTTGCTACACGGTTTCGTAGTCTTCTTATTTCTGCGTCAACAGATGGTAAGTTTTCTTCAATCCCCAAGTCTTTATTCACAACTTCTCATCTCTGATTGCTTTCTTTTAGGGGAGGTTAAAATCTGGGACGTTGGGGAGGAGTCACAAAGGAAGTTAATCGCATTTAATGTAGGAACTTCTGTAATCAGTGTCCATGGATGCTACACAGACGCGTCGGAGGCCCAAATAGTTGTCTGTGCTGCCAGTCAGGATGGGATCACAGGTTTCACTTTTAAGCTCACGCTAACTGATGGCATGACATCTGCGGCTGAAATGGTGGGCGAGCGATTTTGCATTAAACTCGAGTCATATTTGTGCTTGACCTTGCGTCTGGCCTGTTTAACTGGTCCACTGATCCTCCTCTTTGCTGGAATGACAAATGGTTCCCTGGAGGTAAGGTTATTGAAGCCGGAAGAGGCGTCGACACCCCTTGCTGGAACATTGAAAGGGCATCTTGATTGGCTTAATTGCCTAGACATTACTAGAATGTATCCTTCTGAGGGAGTGGATACCTCTCAAGTTGAGGGTGATCACGTACTAGTAGCAACCGGATCGCAGGACAAACAAATTCGAATTTGGCATGTGCAGCTTCTGGAAGGGAAGGACAAACTTCCAAATGAAAAGGTACACTCAGGAACTATATGCACAAATTCTATCTGTAGGACAAGGTCTTGCTACTTTATTCGGGAATAAGTAGAAAATCGACATATGATACGTACTTTTTTTTAATTTCCATATTGTTGTTTGTGCTTAGGGGCAGCTGATGAATCTTTCCGCACCATTCCTCTCCACCCATCGGCTGATAGCGAGATTAGAGAGCGTTATTGCTGCCCATGACAATTGGGTGACAGGTTTAGCTTGGTCCCCTGTACCGTGGACGCCTATGTCATGCCCTCAACTGCTCTCCTCCAGTCGTGACGAATCCCTAATCATCTGGGCGCCCTCTCAGCCTCTGTTTTCGAACGCTGGCACTGATACTAGTGGTAGTGCGAAGGCTTCAGATATCTGGCTCGAGCAAGCGAGGTGCGGTACTGTCGGCAGCAACTCATTAGGTTATCTTGGCTGCGCCTGGGGAAATTACAATTCTGAGATCTATGGACACGGATTCTGGGTCGGTAGCTCTTCGCTTTACTGTTAACTCCTACCCCATCTAACTATCTTAGCAATTATTGATTCATTACACTTCAGGGTGATCTTTCTACGTGGTCCACGAACTCGGAGCCTCGTATCACTTTGACTGGCCACTTTAAAGCGGTTACGAGTCTCTCATGGTGTCGAGAATCGATTGAAGGGGTTCCACTTGAATCTCCTTCGCGTCTTGCTTATCCGCCTTACCTACTGACTGCTGGCCAAGACAGTACTGTGCGTTTGCATGGTCTCTTTTACACCGCAGGAAGTGGATGTTCGCCACCAGGTAACACATCTTTTACTTATTAAAAATAAGTAGCAAATGCCTCTTACAATTCTTTGTTTGAAGTTCGGATGTGGCGGGAACTGGCACGTCCACAGGTTCATGGATATGAAATGAATGCCATTGTCAGTCTGGACGTCGTTCATTATGTATCAGCAGGCGATGAGAAAGTGGGGCGTGTGTTTTCAGCAACCAGTGGCTTTGTAAAAAGCCTTCTTAGTGATGCTACCATTGCTGCCCATCCAAGCCTTCGATCGCTGCCAAAAAGTGAGGGATGTCGTTTACTATTGCCTTTTTTATGATATCGCCTTGAATCTTCGTGTTTATCTTGGCAAGCTGCAATTATGTCACTATAATTTTATAGGTGCTGTCCAGCCACCACTGGGTCTTTCCAACCAAGCAGTAATGGAAGAGGAAGAAAACAACCCTCCTGCCAGTGTAAGCGTCTTGTATCTGCCCTCGAAGAAGCCGATCCTTAGTAGTGCGCGAACATTAAATAAGCGACTCGCTCTAGTAAACCATAAAGCAATCTTTGATCGAGAGTTGTGAGATTCCGACTTCTCAATTTTACACTCCTTTAAAGCCAAGACTGTGTTTGGCGTTACCATTCCTAACCAGTTGATGTTTTGTCTCCATGAAGCATTCACTCATCTAAATTTAAAGCGTTGATACCTCTAGGATTCCCTTTATCCACCTACGGAGTCTGTTCTTGCGGAGACAACACTCTGGACCGAGACAAACAAACTCTATGGCCACAGCTACGAGGTGAGGTCTAAAACAGTGAACCGTTTAAGAATTACTTGACAGTACATTTGGTGAAACAACAACGTTACTGAGCCGTCCTATCATTTAGGTATTTACTCTGGCCGCTCACCCTAGAGGCTGTCTCGTTGCGTCCGCATGCAAGGCAGCTAAACAGGAGTTTGCACAGATTCTCCTTTGGCGAACAGACAATTGGCAAATCCATCAGGTAATGCCATCTTCTTTTTACCAGCTGTTTGACAAAACCTCAACTTATTTTCCATTATTGTATCTTTATTCAGCACCTCTCCTTCCACCGTTTGACTGTGAGTCATATGCGATTCGATGGAGTTGGCGGTCGGTTAGTTTCCGTTTCCCGTGATCGAATGTGGGCACTGTGGAAGGTGGATGGGAGTGTAGGCGACGACATTCCCACTTTCTCGCTTCATAAGCACTCTCAACCCGGAAAAAATGCTCATTCTCGTATTATTTGGGCCTGTGCATGGTCTCCAGACAACAGGTAGGCGCATACACATACTTTTTTGTTGTCGACTTATATCTTTCAAGTTCCCATCTCGTGTGGAGGAGAGCACTGAAGGTGTTGTTATTATCTATGGGACGGATGTGATCCACTTTTTACTCCTTTTATAATTTCATAACTTCCTCCTCCCTTCCTACCCTTGAAGTTTTCATGGACTTGAAGCACAATAGCAGAACCACGTTTAATCCAGCGAATCGCATCTTTTTATGGCATCAAACAGAACAGCACTCCCTCTATAAAGCTGGATTCCGGTATTTCTTGCAACACTGAAGTGCGGAAGTTGAAGGTGTCTTTTTACACACAACGAAGTGGGTGGATGGCAGGGGGACTGGGTAGGGGGGAGGGATTTACGAGTTTGACACTGGCAAAGTTTTTCATTTTTATGTTCTGTTTTTAGCACTTTTCTAACTGCCTCGCGTGACAAACAAATTATGGCGTGGAATAGTGAGAGTGGGGAGCGCCTAGGCCCACCGTGGATGCTCTCTGATGCCATAACAGCGTTTGATGTTGGCCCCGAGATATCGGGTCACAGTGCCTTTTTTGCGGTGGTCGGTTTTGAAACTGGTGGTATTGAGCTGTTGGCCATATCTCTCACCAAAGGAACTTGTCAGTCAATATGGAAAATGCCCGATGACTGGACGCATATGGGTCTACCGGTGCGTTGCTTAAGCCTCCATTCTCTGGACTCCGAATCGGTCGCCTTGGCCAGTGGTGGTGATGATGGAATTGTGCGGATCTTCCGCGTATCGCCTTCAACACTTATAAAATCCGTGTCCAGTATTTAGTTAAATATTTTGTTATTTTGAGCGTCTGAAGATACCTAAATTAATAGACTCTTGGTTTCGTGCTCGAGCGGTGGTTTTCGACGAGTCTGAACTTCCAAGACGTCGGTATAGAGGGAGGAGGTGATAGAGCCGTGTAGGGCTACAGCTCTCGCCTAAAGTAAATAAACACTTATTACAGCATACCCTCAACCTTGCAAATAACCCGCCTACACCGGAACTTGAGGGCGAATTTCCATCTCCTGGCAGCATGCCAAAATCGGCTGTTTTGACGTGGGGATGCGCGCTGCTAGGTGGTAGGAAGGTGGGGAGAAGGTTTCCTGTGATCATAGGAAAAAGTAGCTAGCGGTCTGTAGTACAGCGCGTACTGCATCAAATCTTTGGTAAGAGCTCAAAGGCACAGGAAATCTTCATGTATTAATAATGCGTAGTGGTACAGCGGTGTGGCAATGGAGGAGCGCAGAGTCAAGGTACGCTCACCTAGGCAGGGGCAAATTGAGTGACTTTTGAATGACGATCGATGACAAAATTTCATCGATAGGAGGTGGGGAGGGATGACTTCATCAGACAATGTGGTTCACTACTTGTCCATCCCGTTCATAATTGGTGCAATCGGTAATTTTTTTTTCTCTGCAAGACTAGCCTATACCTTACGACGAAGGATTTCATTTGTTACCTCACTGCACTTACTTCAGAGGTGTTTGGATTTCCTCATTTGTCTAATTTTATGTATCAGTGTGCAATTAAGCACAGAGAAGCAGACTAAACTCACGTGCTTTCTTGTCACGTCATACACTCCGTTTTGGTTTTTTTTCGGTCTTCATGCATGGTTAAACATTGCAATTGCTGCTTATCACCATCATTGTGTCCTATCCTCCTCTGAGACACCTTATCAAATGAATTGGCGTACTGGTCTATCACTTGCCTTTTCTGCCCTCATTTCTGCAATAATCGCAGCCCTTGCTGCAATTTACTACACTGAATACGATGTTGAGCGGGCGTTTTGCGGCAATATTTTTGACTTTGAAGATGAACTACCACCTAACCGTTTTGTTCTGGTGCGCTACCTGTACGTGTTGTCAATTTCATTAAACTACCTTCTGCCCGTTACTGCTGCAATTTTGTACTACTCGGAGGTATTGGAGGCCTTGAAAGAATTCGATGCACCCATCGCTGTTATTGAGGAGGCCGAGAAATTTATCCGCTTGGATGGTCATCTCCTACTATGGCTGGGTGCGCCTATCCACATGTTGGAGTCCATTCAACTCATGCATTGGAAGAGAGAATTGTTACATGGAAAATTTTATGCAAAAGTATTCACAATGCTTGCTGGGGCTTATTGTATAATGCAACCCACTCTTCACATTGTCCTGAATATGGCATCCAGGAATGAGTAGTGACACTTTTTGTCAAATTTTAGCCTACTTTTTTATCCATGGTACATATACCCATGAAGGACAGCAACTTAACTTCCGGTTGTTATTAACAAAAGGTTAGAGAGGCTACTCCAGTAATGCTAGTGGATGAAATCCACATACGAAATCTATGCAGCATTATTGGGAGAAAAAAAGAACTGATTCATAACTCCTTTGTATGTTACTCTTTTTGCTGGCTGGAGATTGAGAGCTCGTATCATAAAGGGACTCCTATGAAACAAATTTGCGCTGGTTACAGGGCAAAATTCAATTGATTTAAAGTTGGAAGGAAAATACAGTTGAGTAACCTCGATTCTCGTATGGTCTGTCTACTTTACAAGCTTAATCAAAGAAAAATTTAATTTTTACTTTTAGTATTGGGATGTTTATTATGCTAAACATAATGTATTATACAGTGCTTTCAAGTGCTTGCGCTCACTTCTTAACGTATACGACGTTAAATGAAGTGTAAAGCATGATTTATGGTTTGCTGTTGTGATTAATAAATTATCATACTTTATTACCGTCAGCATAATTATCGAAGTCTGATGTGGACTTCCGCCAAACTCTGCTCTCCCAAGTCTTTTCGCTTGATGTATTCGATACTGCCACAGAAACAATAATTTTATGGTTTGTGAAAATATGAGAGCAAATACTTTGAGTCCTGTGCTTTGCCTTCGGTGGCGAAAGAAGATGCAATATAGACGACTAGTGGCAAGGAATGGGGTTGAATGTGGCAAGCAATGCAAATTGGCACGTACTCCAAAATACTGGTTAATTTAATCAAATTCAAATACACTCTTAATGCATTGCATTGCATTATAAAATCTGACGTTAGCACGCAATAGCCCATAACATAACATGTGTGTTTATTTCTTTTGGTTGC